GGGGAGAGTATCGCACCCTGAGGTACTCCACACACCAAGGAGTGGCGCGATGACAGTTCCCCCCCAAATGCCACCCTCTGTCCCCGACCAGAGAGAAACGAGCACAGCCATTGAAGGACTGTGCCCTGGATCCCCATGTTGGCAAGGCGGTGGTCCAGGAGTTCGTGATCGACCATGTTGAAAGCTGCTGACAGATCTAGAAGAATCAGCAGCCCCGACCCGCCTTGATCCAGCTGTCTACGAAGATCGTCTGTTAGGGCAACCAGAGCCATCTCGGTCCCATGACCAGCGCGGAAGCTGGACTGGAATGGATCCAGAGCCGATGTTTCATCCAGAAACCCACCAAGCTGTTCAGCAACCGCTCTCTCAATCACCTTACCCAGGAACGGAAGATTCAAAACTGGGCGGTAATTGGATAGATCTAAAGGATCTAATGATGTTTTCTTTAAGAGCAGGCACACCACTGCCTCCTTCAGTTCCCCTGGGAATGTCCCCGTGCCAAGGGACAAATTGATGATATCCCTAGGGGGGCCCGCACCTTGTCTGGACACGCTCTAATCAGCCAAGACGGGCACGGGTCGAGAGGACAGGTGGTGGACTTTCCAGCTCGGAGGAGTCTGTCCACATTGGCTGGGGATATCCAGTCGAAGTGTTCCAGTACTGGACCCGAGGACAGTCGAGGGGCCTCCAGTTCCTTTATTGTATCCAAATTGGCAGGGAGGTCATGGCGGAGCAACAAGACCTTCTCCGCAAAAAAGCTCGCAAATGCCTCACAGCTGTGTGTCAAATTGTTATTTAAATTTGGCTGTCCCTCAAGGGACGTTAAAGACCTAATTATACTAAATAATTGCGCCGGGTGAGAGCTAGTGGATGCAATGGAGGCCGAGAAGTAAGACTTCTTAGCAGCCTTTACCGCCATCTCATAGGTTTTCATAAAAGCCCTATAAGATGTTCTTGAGGTTCCATTACGGGCGCCCCGCCATACTCACTCTAGCCAGGGGGAGCAAGGTCCCACAAGGCTTGGCAGAATCTATCAGGGTCCATCAGCCTCTGCGGGCAAGCCCAAATCGGCTCGGCACCTAAGCAGGGTGGGGGTGGAAAGTCAATCCTGGCTTTCAGAGCGTAGTGATCAGACCATGGCACCTTCATCGAAGGAGACATGATCACATCTATACCTACGCCGAAGATAAAATCCAGCGTGTGGCGTTTGTTGATGTGTGGGGCCCGAAACAAACTGGGAGAGCCCTAGTGTCGCCATGGAAAACACCAGGTCCAGAGCCTGTGAGGAGGGAGTGGCATCAGCATGGATGTTGAAGTCCCCCAATACCAATAGGTTAGGAAACTCTAAGGCCCAGCCAGCCACCGCCTCCAGTAGGCCTGACAGGGTGGCTGCTGATGCGCTAGGTGGCCGGTACACCAGCCAGACAGCCAAGCTCTCCTCGGAGCCCCACACTAGGCCAACACATTCAATGCCGGGGATCGATGGTGATGGTAGAGCCCTGAAAGAACAATCTTCCCGGATTAATAATGCCACCCCTCCCCCCCGGCCCACAGTCCATGAGTGGTGGAGGACGGAGAAACCCGGGGGCGCCATCTCTCGTAAGGTAGCTGTTTCCCCTTCGCGCACCCAGGTCTCCGTCACACAAGCCAGGTTGACCCCCTGCGAGGTAAAGAAATCTCGCAGGGTGGCGGTTTTGTTGCCTATAGACCTGGCATTGCACAGCACCAGTGACGGAGGTGAGTAATCCTTGCTCACCCTACCCTCGTCCCTCGGGATGGGGCGCAGATTGGAAGGGGTACGAGCATATCCATATCTCGATCCCCTTCGCCTATAACATCTGCCCCCACCGCCATACCTCCCTCGCCCCTCCAGGGTAGCAATCCCAAGCCTCATATTAGCCTCCATTGATGGCAATTAATATTATTCTTTCCCAGGCTAAAACAATAAAACCTTAAACAATAAAAACAAACAAAATAAAAAACCAAAAAAACAATAAAACAATACAAATAAAAAACTGCAAAAATTACAAATCCATCAAAATCAAACAAATTCCCAAGCCCAACCAAACATCCATCCCACCCCCATATGCAAAAATTTAAAATTTTAAAACATGTTAAAAAGAACTCTGCACCCCTCCGGGTCCTCCTGGGCAGCAGAGCAGTCCTTTTGAGGCCTGTCAGGCCCCGCCCTGGGCCAGATGGTGAGTGGCAGGAGCAGGGCCCTCAGGCACTCACACAGGGGAGTCCTCCTGGGCAGCAAAGCAATCCTTTTGAGGCTTCAGGCCCCGCCCTAGGCCAGGTGGTGAGTGGCAGGAGCAGGGCCCTCAGGCACTCACACAGGGGAGTCCTCCTGGGCAGCAAAGCAGTCCTTTTGAGGCTTCAGGCCCCGCCCTGGGCCAGATGGTAAGTGGCTGGAAGGAGCAGGGCCCTCAAGCACTCACATTGCCTAAGCCAATGCCGCTCATTCCTGAATTCAATAAAGTTGTGGCCTAATTCGCCCATTTAACCTTAAATTCTGGTGTCTGGTGTCTTTATTTATCCTTGGTGGGGGGCAGGAACTCGCCACACAAGACACAGGCTTTGCTGTCAGTCTAGGATCACTCTGAGGAGAGTTTGGTGTTCTTCCTGCCTGCCTGGTTTGCAAAGCCAGCTCATCATGCGGGCTCTATAGCCGCTCTGCATCCTGCAGAATGTTAGGACTTTTCTAAAAAATAAATCATTTCTTCCTCATGTGCAATCTTGTAATTTGAAGCCATTTGAGGCCCTACCCTCTGGAGGAGAAGAAAACAAGCTTATTCCCTCTTCTGTGTGAGATATTTGAAGATGGCTATCGTATCTCCTCTAAATCTCCTCTTTTCCAAGCTAAACTTACCTAGCTCCTTCAACCGTTCCCCATAAGGCTTGGTTTGTGGAGCTTTGATCATCTTGGTCTCCTTGCTCTGTACACGTTCCAGCTTGTCAATATCCTGCTTCTGCGGGATATGAGGAGCTTCCAGCTTCAACATCACTGTGTGCATCACATCTCCATATCAGCTGGCTATTTCCTTTTTAAAAAAATTCTCATGAAAATTCATCAGGACTTCTATTTATTATGATTATAATTATTATTATTATCTTCCCCAAAAGGCAGTGTACAAAATGCAATGAACACAGCTGAAAAGCAGTTAAAAACAACACAGGGGGGAAAAGTAAATATGTTTTCAAACAATGCTAAATAGACACTCATGGCAGCAACCTATTCATCCGCCTGGGAAAACTTGTCAGAATGAAAACATCTTCAGTTGTTTCCAGAAATTGCGGGTAGTGGGTTCCTGTTGTATCTCTGCAGGAAGGCTATTCCACAGAACAGGGGAAGTCACACTCAAAGCCCTGCTCTGAATTACAGAAGATCTACCCAAATATCAGCAGATTTTATCCTGCCTGCATGATTGTCCTCATTTGCCCTGGTTAATAGGGGCCAGAGAGTACACAAAGCTTTGTTACCATCAATGTTAGATACCACCTTTGTTGTAATGGGTTTTTTAAGCAATAAATACATCATGGTACAAATGTTGCTACTTTTACATCAACGATATCATGAGCCGCAAGCATCCACGCTGTGAAGAAAGCATGCTGGAACAACACTGTTTATTTTGCACATTAATGTCCTGCTTAATTGCAATACACCTCAAAGCAGTTGAGACAGGCGATACGACCCGTCCTGCTTCTTTGCAGGTTCCAAAACATTTCGCGCTGCCCCTGAAATTTCTACTGTCCTTTGCTAAGACTCCAATCTACACTGCAGTAGTAGGAGAGCCGAGCTCTGGAAAGTCATAGGATCGTAGAATTGCAGATCTGGAAGGGAACCCAAGGGTCATCTAGATCAACCCCCTGAAATCGGTGCCATGTGGGACTTAAGTGCAGAAACCGCGGGAGCTGCTGAGACGGGCACAGAGGCAACTACGGCAGAGGTAAAGGATTAACCATCTCGGATGCTTCAAGTTTCACGAGTGAGCCTTTGGGACCTTCCCATTTAAAGGCAGCTGCACTGCTGTCAATCAGGCTGCTTGGAGCTCCCTCTAGCGGGGAATGCGGCTCTGGCTATGCGTTGCAATCTCGTCCTCGCTCGTGCTTTCGCTTTCATCTTTGCTTTTTTTAGTGCGACGACCGGGAGGGAGAGGGAATAAAAGCGAGAGAGAGAAAGAGAGTTGGGCGGAGAAAAGCCTAAGAGACCAGCAAGCAAAGCCTCCGAAGAGGGAACTGAGCTTTACTGCAAAAAATCCGGGCTGGCAGCAGGTAAGGAGGTGAGCAGTTCTCCTGGGGCTCTGATGATTTCCGTGTTTTTTGTTTTGTCTTTTTCTGAGCGTGTCTGCGTTAAAGGAGACTCTGAGCTCATTGCTAGGCGGGGGGCGGCAGAATCGTTTATTTTTACTCATATGAATAATGATGTCGGAGAAGGCTGCCCTTCTTCCCCGCTGCAAAGGGAATTAATAACATGCAATCACCAGGGAACAAGCAGAGCTGGTGCTACTATAAGAGTTGTAAGTAACTGCTCTGAAATCGACGCGGGTCTCCCTTTCCAGCGGTGACGCGTGTTCATTCGACGTCCCCCTCTACAGCTGCTACGAGGCTGCCCTCCTGCTCCTCTCGCCTCCTGCCTCTTTCCCTTTTTGGGGTTTGGCAGAGTGGAGGGGAAAACTCTTTGGAAGCAGACAGAGCCTTAGCTAGGTGATCTTGCGCCCCTGGCAGAACCGTCCAGATTGCGCCCCTAGCCACGGACAAATTAGCTCTTCTTTCCCTCTCTCCTCCAACCCCCCTTCCTCCCATTCAATTCCTCACGCACTTCCCCTTGTAATGAATTATTTCACAGAAAATCCAGTATTAAATTTATTATTTCTTGATAAAAGGTTTCAGGAAAGAAAATGACATTTTGATTTGACTTGACAGTTTTTTTAAATGTAATTCAGTTGTAAAACAATACACAGACATACAAACCATATCATACGGATTTGTTCCACAATGATAACTTTCTGGTCTCAGAGCTCTCTCTCTCTCTCTCTCTCTCTCTCTCACACACACACACACAGAGAGAGAGAGAGAGAGAGAGAGAGAGAGAGAAAGAGAGAGAGAGAGAGAGAGAGCTCACAACCTACCTCCCTTGCCCCCACCAACCCGTTCCTCTCTCAGCAACACCAACACAAAATCTCAGCAGCCCTCCAGGTGACGTCTTGCGGAGGGCAGAGAGAGAAGGGAGGAATAAAGGTTTGCTGAGGGGTGAGAGGCAAGGAATTTGTGTCTGGTCCTTCCACAGGTTGGGGAGAAGGAGCAGGGAGAAGAGAAACCATGCTTTTGGAAATCTGAGGAGAGAAACCATTTCCTTGGAAAGCTGATACAGTGGTACCTTGGTTTGCAACCGCTTTGGATTACAACCACGTCAAACCTGGAAATGTGTGTCCTTTTTTTGAATTAAAACCATTTGGGGGGGGAGGCCCCATTGGCAAAAGTGCACCTTGGGTTACAACCTGTTTTGCTTTACAACCGGACCTCTGGAATGGATTATGTTTGTAAACCAAGGTACCATTGTAATGCGCAGCTTGGGGGAGGGGGGGAAGTGGGTGGAGAATTTAGACACATAAGGGGAATCTGGTTATTAATTACTTAAATCAGTTGTTTTCAACCAGGGTGGCATGGCACCCTGGGGTGCCTTGAATGGTGGTCAGGGTGCCGTGGGCAGCACTGGCCTCTGTCCCTCTTTCATTCCCTCCCTCCTCTGATGCCCTCTGGTGTCTCTGCCTCTGAAAGGTTTGCACAGCTGTTTGTTGCAGCAGCCCTGGTTACAAGCTCCCCAGGTGGATGGTGCCTCTGGGGCTGGCCAGGGGGTGCTGGTTTCCAGGAGCTGAAACGGGGCCTCAGAGTAAGCAAGCAAGTGGGCAAAGGAGCCCAGCCAGCCAGACCACCAGCCCTTGCTGCTGAGAATGGACAGACAAGTCCCAGGCCCCTGAATTTACATACAGTGTCTAAAGGTAGGATGCACTCTTAAAACATACTTAAATAAAACTGCCCCAACCCCTTCTTCTTTTTCACCAGACCCCCCTCTTCTGCACCTTCAGACTGATAACTCTTCGTTGCATCTTTCTAAAAACATGTAAGGTTTAATCATCATTGTAATGGGCACAGACTCCCTCCCCAACCTAAAAAAAAATTAAAAATCAGGAAGTGCAGTTTCTTAAAATGCTGAGAGTCCCCTTCCTCATGTCCCTCTCTAAATTCAGGGCTCTTGGGCTCTGCTCCTGTGTCCTGGGCTGGCTAAATGTAGAGGAGTGGGGGGAGGCAGCAGCTGAGGAACCCCCAAGGGAGCCCCCAGGGGAAGAAGTCTCAGAGCCAGGGGATTGGGGGTAGGATGGAGATGAGTGGTCAGAGCGAGAAGAGAGAGCAGACTGGGAGGAGGAGGAGGAGATGTCAGAAAATGAAGAGGCAACAGGGTTTAGTGAGCAGGAAGAGTCTGTGGCAGAGAGCGGTCCAGAATAAGAGGTAGAACTGGAGGGGGTTCAAGAGGCAGAGTAGACACAGCGAATCTCCCCCCTGGTCTGCCAGAACTTGAAGAGGAATGAAGAGGGCAGAGCAATGAGAGACAAGACAAAAGAAATTCAGGTTGCTGGGGAAGAAGGAGCCTTAGAGAGCAGGGGATGTGGGGACCTACAGTCCTTGCAACAGCTGCATTGGGGCAAGAGATACTGGGAAGAGTTGCTGTGTTCACTCAGCTTGCGCTGTTTGGTTTTCTTTGAGTAAAGAGTTAACGTCATTGACAACGGGTATTTTGTTGTTGTTTAGTCGTTTGGTCCTTTCCGACTCTTCGTGACCCCATGGACCAGAGTATGCCAGGCACTCCTGTCTTCCACTGCCTCCCGCAGTTTGGTCAGACTCATGTTTGTAGCTTCGAGAACACTGTCCAACCATCTCGTCCTCTGTCGTCCCCTCTTTCTTGTGCCCTCCATCTTTCCCAGCATCAGGGTCTTTTCCAGGGAGTCTTCTCTTCTCATGAGGTGGCCAAAGTATTGGAGCCTCAGCTTCACAATCTGTCCTTCCAGTGAGCACTCAGGGCTGATTTCCTTAAGAATGGAGAGGTTTGATCTTCTTGCGGTTCATGGGACTCTGAAGAGTTTCCTCCAGCACCATAATTCAAAAGCATCAATTCTTCGGCAATCAGCTTTCTTTATGGTCCAGCTCTTACTTCCATACATTACTACTGGGAAAACCATATCTTTAACTATACGGACCTTTGTTGGCAAGGTGATGTCTCTGCTTTGTAAGATGCTGTCTCAGCAACTCCAGCTCCTGATGTCCCTTCTATGATTCATATCTTCTACCTGTAAAGCTTTGTTGCTTGGCAAATGATAATGATATTGCAGACGCTGGAAATTTTACAGAGGGCATGCCACTCTTAAATGAATGCTTCCAATTAGGCCGGTCGCTTAACGTTTTCGTGCTTCCTTTCTATGCAGAGCACCAAGATCCACAATGGTGGAAGACTTCGAGGTAGCCATTTCTCAGGGCCAATTGGCAGGTGCTGTGTCGCACGTGCTGGCAAAACCACTGCCCTTTTTCAACAGCACTCCGCTCCACATTGCCGTAGTAGGAGAGCCCGGCTCCGGGAAGTCCTCCTTCATCAATGCCATGCTGGGTCTTCGTGCCGATGACCCACGTGCCGCTGTGACTGGCATACAGATGACGACTGTGCAAGTCAAGGATTACCCACACCCGACACTTCCGCAAGTGATCCTTTGGGACCACCCCGGAAGGGGAATGGCAACTTTTGGAGAGGACAAATTTGAAAAGAAGGTCGATTTGAATCACTTTGATTTCTTCGTCATCGTCGGCTCCCAGCGCTTCCGCTCCACCCATTCTGACCTGGTCCGTGAAATCCAAGATATGGGCAAGAGCTTCTACTTTGTGCGCACCAAAGCAGACCTGGACCTGTCGGCCGCCAAGAGGCAACAGCCATCTGACTACAATGAGGAGAAGGTCCTCTTGCACATCCAGGAGGACTGCAAAGAGTGCTTGGTAAGAGAAGGAGTGAGGGACCCACAAGTCTTCATTGTCTCCAACTGGGAAGCCGACTGCTTTGACTTCCCCCTCCTGCAGGAAACGCTGAAGAACGATCTCTTGCGGCTGAAGAGGCAAGCCTTTCTGCTCCGCTTCCCTAGCATCTGCCTGCCTATCTTAGAGAAAAAGAAAACCACTGTGAAGGAGAAGATTTGGACCAAAAGGCTTTGTTTGCTTGTCGCTCTTGGAAGCCCAGTTCCCTTCCTTCTTCCCATATTTCTGTTTAGTAAGTTCCGCTCCTGGTGCTTCCTAGACTTTGGCCTGGACAATCGATCCCTTGCAGCTCTGGCCCAGCGTGTTGGAAAGACAAGCACAGCCCTTAAAGCAGCAATGCAGTCCCTGGGAATCTTCTCTGCCATGTTATGGGTGCTGCCAGACTTGGTGGGACTCTCAGTGATGGCTTATGAATATTACCGCTGGGAGCATTTCCCCATCTTTGGCTGCCTTCTGTCCGGAGGGATTTCGCTTCCTCGCACCTACTTCATGCTGCAGAAATGCATATCGGGTGCTGCTGATGACACCAAGAGGGTTTTGTCCAAAGCTCTTGAGGCAGAGGGGAAAAAGTCCATTTAGCAGCAAGCAGATGTGCCATGATGACTAAGTGCTTGATATATAGTATCTGGTGAATTATACGTTTCCATTTTTAAAACAACCACCACCAAAAAACATTAAAATAATAATAATCAGATGATCAGGTTTTTTATTGTAAAAATTCCATAAATCTTAGGCTTCTTATTTTTTTTTAAAAAAACCCTAAGTTAAATAATCTGAATGCTAGCATAATACCCTTTCAGTTACTTTTAAAATTTAGTATCTCTATCCAATGTATAAGAATTAAGACCAATACTGAAAGGAGACTTTGGGACAAATGGACTTTTTCCTATTCATACTTCTTTCAGTCCACTAATGAATTGCTCTGTATATGATGTCAGACTAGAAAAATCTAGTGACCTATGTGAACCTACTTGCAAGGATGGTCTCAAGTTATAATTTATGCAGGCTGCAGCATTCACTTTCTCTCCTTCTCTCTCTCTCTCTCTCTCTCTCTCTATATATATATATATATATTGCATTTGCTTTTTTTCTTTAGGAACAGGAGTTAGCTCTGTATCACAAGTCCCATGCAACATCTATTTCAGAATGTTCTTTCCCTCATACACACTCAAACTGAAGGAGGGCATTCAGCTAGACAGGAGCCTCCACATTTGTTAAATAGAAAGTTGAGGTAATTTTAGTCTGTTTTAGTATTTTAACTCTTGCATATCTTAAAGCACGGCTGTAATTTCCCCCCTGATTTTATTGTTTTATCTTTTTGCAAACCGTTTTGAGGTTTTATTAGAATCAAACGGTGTATAAGCTTTCATGAAATAAACTAATTGGTTAAAATAATCTCCTGGCCACCCTTATTAATCAGCTTTCAGTTTTCCATGAAAGTCTCATAAATGAGAAATGTTGTGAATTATCTAGACCCCCCTCCTTCTTTGGCAATCACTCCGGGCTGAGTAAGGTTGTCTTCCATAAACATGGTTTTAACAGTGAGTCCGTAAATGACCGTGGAGGCCACTTCTGGATCCACACGTCCTTCCACAGTGGGGACATTGGTTTCCAGGTGGGAGTTAATCACGGTGTGGATTTGCCAAGTGTGCTTTCCTCTTAGCACGTTTCTCCCTTGTGTCCTGAGTTCGAGTGTCTTCAAAGCCCATGACACCTTTGGTAAAGGCTGTTCTCCAACTGCAGCGCTCGCAGGCCAGTGTTTCCCAGTAGTCAGTGTTTATACTACATTTTTTTAGATTTGCCTTGAGACAACATGTCATGGACACAGTAATAATGCATGAGTGGGTGGTTTATAGTGGGCCATTCAGATACCGTTCCACTCTATTAATAGTTCTGCAACACTTCCCCAATGTCACTCGGTTATTATTGCCATCTGGAAGGTCACTCTTGCTCTGTAGTGTGACAAAAGTGGGCAACATACACACCCATCAACATTTGTGCTACAAAAAAGTTGCAGAAGAAGAAGAAGAAGAGTTTGGATTTGATATCCCTCTTTATCACTACCCG